AATCGCACCACACCACATAACACTAAGAATCAAATAAAATCACATCGCATCAAATAAAATCACATCACATTGAATCGCACCACACACATAAATCAAACAAAATCAATCCACCATATAGATCAAAACACAATCACATCACATCACATCACATAAAATAAAATAAAATAAAATCACATTGCATCGTATCACATCACATAAAATAAAATGAAATAAAAGCACACTGCATCGCATCACAACACATCAAATTTAAATAAAATCACATTGCTATCGCATCAAATAATCAATTCACGTCGCATCATCACACATCACGACGAGTTCAACTGCCCCATCATCAACACATGATCAACATCACCAACTGCACAGAAATCGGTCTGCGCTTCTAATTTAAACCTCGGTCTATAACGGAAGCCTCGAGGTATTCGCGTAATGCAGTCTAGCTGATTATTGCAGTGCAGTAAAGTGAGGATTTAGATTGTTTTATTGATGCAAGCCAAAATTAGCAATATGAGAGATGCAACTGATTTGAGAATGAACTTTGGACACGCAGAACTTCGTATCAGCTGACTTCATTTCGCTGACTTCAGTTTTCTGTCCAATTCTCTCACTTCAGTTCTCTGTCTTCAATTCTCTGACTTTTCAATTCTTTGTTCTCCAGTTCTCTAATTCTCTTCTTTGACTTCAATTCTCTGACACTTTTTTTAATTATTTCACCTTCTTGACCATTTCTGACTTTTCAATCTCTGACCACGCTTTTCATTTCACTTCTTTGACCATTTCTCTGACTTCAATTCTCTGACTTCACGCTTTTCATTTCACTTCTTTGACTTCATTTCTCTGACTTCAGATCTCTTCATCCTCTGGACACTTCAATTTCTGCCCCTCCTCTTTCTTTGACTTCTTTCTCTTCTAACTTCTCTGTCCCCAATCTTGACTTCACTTCTCTTCCTCCACTTCCTTGACTTCACTGTCTTCTTGATAACCGGATTAGATCTGCATCTCTTATCCGGAGAGCCAAGGGGAACATTCTGATGGCGATAAAGTTGATATCCTCATCAAACGCTGCTCACTCCTTAGGTAAATGGAGGTTAATGAGGTGTATAACAACTGTGTCTTTATGTAAATGGGGATTAATCATCTAAATCGCAATCATGTTTTTATTATTATTTTCATTTTTATTATCTTTATCATTATTTTTTTTATCTTATTTCTATTTTTATATTTTTATCTTTATTATTGTTATTATTATTATTA